GAATGGTCACTTATACTTCAGTAATAAAACAGATGATTCTAAACTATCACTATTTCTCAAATATAATTTTATTATGTTCGCGATTTACGGTATATTAGATGAAGAACCCAAACGAGTGTCTGGTGTACAACCACGTGATACGTCAATCGATCCTAAACGTTATGTATCTTTGGCACTGAAGAAAGATCAAATATATTTGTATAAAACGAACCTGGATGCTAATGATATACGAAAAATGCTTGAAATTCAACTGAATGCTGATCAGTCATTATTATCAAAATCTGAATTAAGTGGTATTATAGCCGCTGTATGGAATTGTGCATTCATAGGAAAATCATCGTCTCATCGCTTAGGTCAAATATTTTATGATTGCATTTTATGGTCATCAAGAATGCATGAGTTTCATTGTAGTATTATAAGTAAGTATGTTGAACAAATTATTCAGTATGATCAAAAACGGATCTCGTCAGAAAAAATTAATTCATATAATTATCGAAGACTAATTCGTTGTATTTTATCTAATTCAACGAAGCAATTTCGAAATATAAATGGACGTTCTTCGGTAAAAATAAATATATTTAGATTTTTGTTTAATACATTACTTCGTATAGAAGCTGAATATTTGATTGCATACGATATTGAAATGGCATTTTATGCATATCAAGAGTATGCCCAGTTGAAGAAAATGTCTCTAGTGGATATTCTTAAATTTCAAATACTTCTCGCAGACAGTAATAGTGATACAAAAAAACGGATACTGTTAGGTACTTTAATTAAATGGATAGAAGATGACACGTAGTAGAAACAGTAATATGGAATTATACTTGCAGTGGAACATAAAGTATGGAGTGGAAAATGTCCACAAAATGGTCCTCCACGTAAAAATGTTTTTCTTTTAACGTAGATTTATAGAAAATCTAGTTTTAAGTGATTCTCCGTATGTGTTTGGTCTTCGAAAGGTATGTTTTCAATAATCAATTAATTATTGCTTTTAATGTTAAAGTTTTCATCGATTATAACCTGTGAAAGTATTTCTGTTGTAGATGAAACGATAGAGCGCGTTTATCCTGCGTTCTATCTGTTTAAATCAAATATTTTTACAGGATGGAATCCTTTAACTCTGACATGTTTAATTTGATTTTGCAGAATCCTTTTTCAATTAAATCACTTTTTCACAAATCAACAAATGACTTGTTCACGTATTGTTGCCAGTTTTTCACCGCCATTAAACTTTTTAGAACGGCTTCACGAGAGTATGCGCTAAACTTTTGCAGGTGCCTGGAGAGGTTGTATCAAAAAGCACTAGAAAATAGTCAGCTTTTGCTCCGCTACAACTAGAAACTTGAAACTTTCAGGATCGACAGGGAATCAGTTAAACATGCCGAAAGCGAAGAGATTTGAATTCTATGTCAAGTCCTTCAGAATGTCTCTCAATCACCGCGATTTTGTCCATCGCTGTTCACCTAAGTTTGGTATTGACAGACAAAAAGCCCCCCTCAAAATTTTCGCTTGTAGTATGTGGATCAGAGATCCGCACAGATCGAAGATGTTTAGTCTGGTCCGATGATAAAAGTTTCCGGACCAAGCTCGGCTCGGCCCGACTAAACGTGGAATTTATCTGGCCCGGCTAACCAGAAACTTTTCTGACCCTGCCCTACCCGATCATTTATTAAAATTTTCTGGTCCCAGACCTGATTTTTTACTTACATCTGTACTGCTTTTGTTGGCTAAATGGTGTAAATGTATTTCTCAAGCTAATATTTATATCTTTATGATTTCTTAGTTTTCATTTTTTCAACCTTTAAAGGCATTAGCCGAACAAAGTCATTAAGATGCCGCGTAACAGTGATAATACTCTTTCTCGGTACTGAGTATACACATAACTTAAAAATCCGCACAAAACCTAAAAACACTCAACTTTTTGGTTTCATAAACTTTTCTCTCATTTTCTATACATGCAAAATTTTTCTTACACATAGTCTGATAGAAAAAAGCATCTTCTTCACAATGAGACTTTTTACAAAATTTTCCGATGAGTTTTCGCGGAGATATAAGCATCGCGGCAAATGCCCTGAAAAAAGTGACCTATGTACAAAATGCGCTTTTTTTCTCGCAAACTGTTTTTTTTGCTACCAGGCTTCATTGTGCCACGTTAGGACCCCCGTTAAATTTCATCCGATCGAGTTAAAAATTTTACCAGAGGTACTCAAGATACTATTGCAGAGCTATTTTTTTGAAAGGTTATTTTAGACTTTTCTTTACCGAGTGATAGGGTTTCCAAAATTGAAAAACTTGGTTTTTGAGACGTTTTTCAGTATTTTTCCCATAACTCGACCAGGAAAGGTCTGAAAAAAATTTCTGAAAAATTAGCTCTGAATGACCTTGAATACCTCTGGTAAAATTTTGAACACGATCGGATGAAATTTAAGGGGGTTCATAATGTGGCACAATGAAAAACCGAGTTTTCTGAAAAAACTCGTGAACGGCAATACTTGAAAACTTGAAACAAGAACGAAAAAGTGCTCCATTAAGTTTCCGATCAGTTCTGAAAATGCGAAGCCCTAGCGAATTTTAGTTTTTATTTCACAGCATTTCTACGGAAAGCCCAAAAAGAGGGGAGGGGTACCCTTAAGGGGTATTGCACCTTTATTGCAAGCAGTAGCTGATAGTAAAGTATTGTGAAAAGCGAAACGATTACTTTATGATCTCTTAAAATCCTGAAAAGGAGCATTCGAAGACGTACAGAAAACGCCTTTGGATGATGGCATTGCCATGCAATAAAAAGCACAATAAAAAGCACAATGAAAACAGGAGGGAGACTCACTTGAGAACAAAGAAGATATTAATCAAAAAGCTGTCAATTAAATTAACATTTTTGTTGAGCTGATCTCCATCTTTTACCGAAGCAAAAATAAAAAGTTTGAAGCTCGCTTAGTTTAGGTAAAACGATATAATCATTTACTGCCTGTCGTTGAGTATAAAAATGCAAAGGTAGTTAGTAGTTGAGCAGCGTTCCAAAAGATTTTACAAAAGAGATTTAGTAGCTAAAATTGACACGTTACAAACAATATGAATTTTAATTGGTACCAGAACCGTTTGACACGATGTAAAAATTCCAGTTGCCACAAGTTTAGGTTCAAACGGGAGCTTACAACGATAAGATATTAGATACCCGCGATATTGTTATATCCTAATTTCTATCAGTCTATAACAAGTCATTTAGTTTACTATTGCGTTTTTTGATATCAGGTTGATATCTCCTTTTACTTATCGTCCAGGTTTACTATCATTGCCTTCTTCCATATTCTTTTTTTATATATGTACAACACATTTATCCTCTTTTTCTCTTTTTTTCTCTGTCACTTTATTGTGTCGTTTCTTTTTAATATATTACGTAATAGATTATTGTTATTCACTTAAACGTCATTTTTGTTCTGAGTGTAGAATGGTCCATATAGTGTTATACTTATGCGTCAACGGCAGCTTAGTCTTTGAAAGACACATAAGCTGCACCACCTGGAACTTGATTTTCCCATATACCAATTTCTCAAAGCATTGTCTCTAGAATAGTGAAAATTACAGATCTCTATCTTTTATCGATCAAAAGATATCCAAAAACGGCCCAATGCAGTGTCTTTTGAATGCTCAAATTAAAGTTTTTTAACACGAATAGATTATTAATTGTATATTGTTATTGTTAGCTTATATCAATAGACAAAATCGCTGAAAGAACCATTTTTCATGTCATTCAACCCGAATGGATCCAAAATGCCCCATGTTGCCCTGAAGGACGGTGCTCCCATATCTCTAGTCAAGAAATTTTTGAAAGCTTTTCTGCAAGTAGATGGCGTGCATGTGAAAAAAACTTTTAAAAAAAATCAGATTTTTTCACTTTTTGGAAAATTTATCATTTTCAGACTCAAATATCTTAGCCGAGGAGTGATGAAAAAAACTTTAGTTTTTTCGAATCTATCGCTTATTGAATTCTCTACACATTGTTCGATACGCTTCTCGACAGGAAACAGAAGTAAGGTGGATCACTTTTTGCTGTAAAAATTCATTTTTCAGATGGTACACTAAGAGCTCGAACCATGGAGGTAGTATAAAATATATCAAATATGGATAGTCGCCGCTGCTTTGTTACTCCACTATATTGTTTCTATGAATGGATCGAAAATGACTCCAACAGGGGTCATGGGTTCAGCTAGGTATGTTCTGTAACGCGACTCTACCGAACAGAAGGAAAATAAAATTGCTGTCATCGTATCATTATTTGTGACACTCACTGTATGACATACAGTGTATGTAAAAAGTGTAATGTAAGAAAGTTGATTAATAATAGAGCTGCGACAAATAGGGATTGATGACTTACCCTTTTCCAATAACAAACCTTTTACAATACTATCAAATGCACTCTGTTTAATAACGCTTTTTTCTCGATATTTCTCTGGTAAAGAGTCAATGTGCTTTTGCACTTCAACGTAAAAGAGTGTTTCATTGTTATTAACTTCAATAGCTTGGACAGTAGTTATAGATGAAGATGTCATTTTTTTTAAAAACAAGTAAAATGAATGTGATCACATCACGAGCAGTATTTATACTATGTGTTAGGAGTCAAAAGTATCTAGAACATCGTCTTATTATTTTTCTCCTCGATTCTGCAGATCATGTTTTGTATATGCATGAAGCGACTGATAAATTTCAATTTCTCGTTCCTTCTTCTATAGTATTCTTATTTCTCTTTATAGTTACGCGAAAAAAAGAAGAAAGACTATACACAACTATACTTTCTAGGTCGAACAAAAAAAGAGATACATGATGAACTAGTGGTTAATAATGCTTTTGTTGGTACTCCTTGATCGATTTATAGAATGATATGAGGTATAAAGTAGCACCTCGACAGCCATGCCACCTTTACGTGGTGAAGTGGATAAGTATTCTGTCTCAGCAAATGAGCTATTATCAACCAAACTGTACATAGTTATATATATCATTTGCTGAGACAGTAGAAACTAAGAG